ATGGATGTATGGATGATGGTTGGATGGATGGATGAATGTATGATGGATGGATAATGAATGAATGGATGGATGAATGGATGGATGTATGGACGATGGATGGATATATTATCTATGTATAACCTTTCCATTAAAGCCAACTTCACCTGCTCTGAACTCAAGATAAGCAGAGGTTTGAACCCACTGCCCAAATAAATAAATAAAATTAATTAATCCTAGCATCTGTTTCTGTCATCACATTTTATTTTGAAAGGATTATTAAGTGGAAACTATCTATAAATAAATTCAAAGAGTGTTTGAGGTGTCGGACACTGAAAAACATCCGGCTCACTTGAAGTAGTTCACTTCTAGAGGTCAACAACAAATAACTATTTCCTGGAACAGTGGTGATACAAGATAGAAATGAGGCCTTGGCTTGTGGGCACTAAGGCAGGTCTTCCAAGGAGCCACCTGCCTGTTGGAGCAGGATGTCCTGTGAAGCCACCAAGTTATATTTGTGTAAAATGTGGGAGTGACCCTGGGTGTAACGTTGTAAATACAGGTTCAGTATGACACCTGAACACACCTACAACTGCTGCTTCACTCATTTTAGACCAAATGGCAGACATCTCAACTGATCCTACCTGAGGTGAACAGGTCTAAGTACTGCACCCAGGGTGCAGTGAGGTCCAGTCACTCAGATTCTGGTTGGTTTTAAACACCTACCTGTCCTTGCTTATATTCCAGAATTGGGACAAGTTATCTGTAGGATTTATTATTTTCTGCTGTGCAGAAATGAGCTCATGCAGATTTTACAAGCAGAACATCAACATTCTCCATTGCTGAGGGATTGAATAATGAATGTTTGTAGATTTGTAGATGAGTGCTTTTCTGGATTAGAACGGAACAGTGAATGTGTGTAAACCTAAACGTTTTTGGTGCAAGATGTTCACATGTGGAGGAGTTACACTGTGGAGAAGTTGCACTGTGAAGGAGTTAGACTGTGGAGGAGTTAGACTGTGGAGAAGTTGCACTGTGAAGGAGTTGCATTGTGAAGGAGTTGCATTGTGAAGGAGTTACACTGTGAAGGAGTTACTCTGTGGAGGAGTTACACTGTGAAGGAGTTGCATTGTGAAGGAGTTGCATTGTGAAGGAGTTACACTGTG